ACTGAAGATAAATGAGCCATCACTGGGAGTTTTCTTATCACCCTCCACCAAAGCAAGGGAGTCCATTAATATCTTCAGGTGGTGCACAGGCATAAATGAACAGAAGAGAAAATCAAGAGTACCTCCAACACACAAGAAAAATAAGCAACAGAGCAAACATGTTGATATGGCAATATACAAAAGCCGATTTCCTTAGGAGAGACTACTTATGTCCTTTCAGGGGTGGTCTCGCCTATGTGGTCCACTGTCTTTCATAAGTGGTCTCTCTCAAATGCTGGAAAAGGAAGCATGAACAAAGATCTTGGTTGTTTATAGTTTTCCATAAGAAACCACACCTGATATACATGAAATCTCAGTACAATTATATATTTTACATGGTTTTGTGCAGCTGTTGGCTTTGTTTCCACATTCACAGCAACAAAGTAGCAAAGTGGTAGGCTTGGGACAGGAAAGCACAGTTGATGCAAGTCATGGAAGCTGCAAACAAGACTCATAGCCCACTTTTTGTTCTACGTGGCATGTTGTACACACTTTGTCTCTGCATTATGATGTGGAGAGTGCAGCCCTGTACACAGTGAGAGGTACTGTCCATATCAATGGGATTTAAGCACTCAAGTTATAGAGAGGATGGTAGCCAAAAGCTTCAGTACACAAAAACATGTAAAGCAACCTCGTGTATATCTACTCAGAAATGTATCCCATGGCATTCAGTGGGACTTACTGCCTGGTAATAGTGTTTAGGCTTATAGCTTCAGCTACATTTCATTTCAAATGGAATTAATGGAACAAGTTCGTTTCAGCTCGTTTCTGTGGGATGAAGAATGGCTACATTTAATTGGATCAGAAACAAAACTGGTACCATCACCAGGTGGACTGCAGGCCATATCTTGCAGCTAAAGCATACAAACATGGAAGTAAATTCCACTGAAATCATTGGTTCAAAGTGAAATTTAAGACCTCCAGATATCCACAGCATTGAAGTCAATGGGCTTGAGCCCAACGGGAAGGAACTCTGCGCTCTTGCTTAGCTTCTGTTTGAACAGGGTACTGAAAACGTGTTTTCAGAGGGGCAGAAGCGAGAAAGAAAGAAAGAAAGAAAGAAAGAAAGAAAGAAAGAAAGAAAGAAAGAAAGAAAGAAAGAAAGAAAGAAAGAAAGAAAGAAAGAAAGAAAGAAAGAAAGAAAGAAAGAAAGAAAGAAAACACTATGATATGGATTATGTTTACAGAGAAGGGGAAATACAATCTGATATGAATTCTGACTTCAATGAGAGCAAAATTTTGCTTAAATATATCTTGGGGGGGATGGGTAGGGAGCAATCAGAGCAAGGGTTACACATCAGTCCAAGGAGGGATCTGTTTCTGCAGAAGTGTCCCTTCTCACTTTTGCACCTGAAAGACACACAAGCCTACATGAGTAAGCATATGGTTGGTAGACTCTTCCAAGAACATTTGTTGATTCTAATACTTTCTTTGATTTTTGCATGCTCTCTCAGTCTGTTCTGACCTATGCAATCTGCTACAAATGACAAAAATGGGCTCCCCCTTTCTCATCAAAAATGCTTTTGATTTCATTAAATTCAACATGATTGAATACCAATATGTGTTGGGAAATTGTATGCTTTTACAATGTATATAGCAGACACTTGCAGATCCCAACAAATATGTTTACATGGGAAGGCATTCATTTTGGCTCTTGTTCCCTGTTGGTTCTCCCTGCTGGCGAATCCATTTTGTTTATTAAGAGTTAGTTAATTTTTCACTTTATTATAACTTACATTTAACTCAAAATCAAAATCAATATTCACTTAAAAAGTTGGACGCACTCATGCGCAAGACAGACCTCACAGGAATAATGGTGAGAACAAATTGATTGGAAGGTTTATTATTAAAGAATCTCTTTCTCTGCCAATTTCTTTGGTGCAGGGGAAAGGAATCCTTCATCAGGATAAAAAAAAAACAATGGTTATCATCATATTCTCTTTCTACTGTTATTCATTATTGACATGTCTCTCAACAGAATCTTCTGTGCCTGAACCTCAATCCATCTCATGCCAACAACTCAAGCACTGCGCCACAACTTTCTTCAGAATCTGACTTTTGCAGAGGTCACTGTCTTTTGAGGACCATACTTTCATCAACATTTATACAGGGCACTCGCAAACAAACCCCGCTGATCTTATATTTTGATACCAAAGAAACCAAGGCAGCCAGAGGAGGAAAACACAGCATTCTGGTTGAGTGGATGGTTTGAAGGCAGAGGCAGAGGCAGAGGCAAGAGGCCGACTAACTGTCAAGGGTGTCAGCAACAATTAACTTTCATCATTACTCTATCTCCTGTTTATTCTGAAATTCTTGCAGTATAGGGAAAAAGTATCAACAGGAGGAGAAGGGGAAAGGAGAAAAGGGGAAAAGCCAAATCAGGAACAGGGGTGCAGTATAGGGAAAAAGTATCAACAGGAGAAGGGGAAAGGAGAAAAGGGAAAAAGCCAAATCAGGAAGAGGGAACAAAACAGAGAAGCCAAGTAAGAGACATATAGAAGATGACTCTGGGTTCTATGAATGCTTCTTTGGGGCTGGTTTTGTTATCCCAAATACAGTTGCTACCAAGTCCCATTAAGCTCCAAAGGTTTTACAAATAATTGCAATTGTACATAGCCATTGAAAAGGACTAACTCAGAATTAAATGCCCTTATGATTGACGCCTCCAAACTCAGTGGGGCTTACTTCTGAGTAAGCATGCATAGGAGTGGCTGCATGAAGGCATTAGCAAAGACGTTTTGATTTGTAACTTTCACTGAATATAGCATGACCTTGTTCCAAACAGCAACTGGGATGAAAGAGCTGTTTCTCCTACACTGTGGCTTGAAACCTGTTTCTGTTCGCCAATGTACCGAAGGGAGCCAAAAGCCAATCCGGGCTCCTAGGTGAACGTTTCTGTTAGATGCCCAAGTTTGCATAATTTGTGGATTGTTACCGTTGTTAATCCATAGTCGGTAACTTTTTACATGACCCAGGATTTTGTTTCTACCACATGGGTCGCGGCCCGCTGCTTTTGGTTTCCTACGATAATGATGGTGATTTGTTTGGACCAAATGGAACAAGTTGCGGGGCGCTCTTCAAAGAGGGAAAGCTCCCAAACTAAGTCCCCCCCCCCTGCCCCGGGCTTGAGAGCGCGCTTACCTTCTCTTTGCCCCCGCAGTGGCAGCAGACGGTCCACAGGTACTTGAGGGTCCTCCAGAGCAGGATAATAAAGAGTCCCCCGAAAAAGGTGACCATGGATGAGGCCAGGAAGGCCCACCACATGCGCTGCCCGCTGTCGCAGGGCACCTCCATGGTGATGGGGATGATGAGCGCGTTGGACGGCCTGGCGGGCGCCGAGGACGAGTCCGTGTTCAGGCTGCCGCTGATGGGGCTGCTCATCCTAATGTTGCCGCTGCTGCCTCCACCGCCGCCCGAGTAGTAGCTAAGGTGACCATGGATGAGGCCAGGAAGGCCCACCACATGCGCTGCCCGCTGTCGCAGGGCACCTCCATGGTGATGGGGATGATGAGCGCGTTGGACGGCCTGGCGGGCGCCGAGGACGAGTCCGTGTTCAGGCTGCCGCTGATGGGGCTGCTCATCCTAATGTTGCCGCTGCTGCCTCCACCGCCGCCCGAGTAGTAGCTGCTGCTGCTGG